AGAAGACTTTATATTGTTTGTAACTTTGTGAAACTTTTGTATATAAATTATTGTATGTAGTAGCTGTTTGTAAAAACTGTTATTGTAAATTGTATTACTGTGTGTATAATTAAAATATATTTGTATTAAAAAAGAAAACTGCGTGTATCAATCTTGTTGGCAAATATCATAAATTGGATATATATCTGCATTTATTTAACTACTAAATCTAACTTACAATTTAACTCAGTTTCAGACCATTCGAAATATTAATGCGTAACAATAGTCATTAAACAAAATATTAGTATTAATTAATAATTAGATTTAAACTATAGTATAGTTCACCAATCACGGCAATGATTAATTATATACTTGTTGCAGTGGAAAATGTATACTTTAAGAGCTGATTTGGTATAAAAGTACATTTGTATCCATCATGCTCTAACTTAGAAAAATAATATAATAGTTTAAAGATCAGAGGAAGTCATGAAAGTGAATTTTACAAGCTGTTCTTGTCGTTTATTAAAACTACATTGCAGTCGAATAGTTTCACTCATAAGAAATAAATACAGGCAGGGAAGTAGATTTCACAAAATGTTTTTTGAAGTTTGCAAGAAAGAGTAGTTATTATTATATGAGATGAAAATCATACCAACAGAAATAAGTATGATAGAGATACTTTATTAAAAAATGACTATCAAAAATGACTTTCAAAAGCACAAAAAAGGTCCTAAAAAGCATATTTCCAAGCCTATTTTTGGTTGACTCAAACAAATCTTTTTTGAAGGTTTGTTTATGGAACATTCACAGGAAAGTCACAAAAGCAAACTTTATAAGCTATTTTATTGGATGTTTTAATATTATTCGAAAAGACAGTTTCAGTATTATGAAATAAAAAGTAGCATAAGTAGATTATTTACGAATCTGTGTTTGTCTGCTATTACAAAAAAACTTAATATATGTATAAGTATATACAATCATAAAAAATAGAGCCACTAAAGCAAACTTTGCAAAGCTTCTTAAAATGTATTAAAAGAACTGTTTCAGTGCCAAAAAAATCATCCGTATAAATGCTCTTTAAAGGGCTACTTAGATATCGAAGGATTGAAAGCATAGCAACAGAAAAAGAATTTATTACAGTATTTTTACAGAAGTAAGAAGGGTGTTTCAGTTTGTTTGTTATTAAGAGCAAAGCTACATAATAGGTTATCTATGCTGTGCGCATCACCGGTGTCGAAACCCGGTTTTGAACGTTGTAAACCTTGAGATTTATCGCTTAGCCACTCGGGGCAGTTGTTTCAACAGCAAGAGGTTAAAAATTCAAAATATGAACTATGCATGCTATTTTAAAATCTGTTATAACACATTTTAACTTTTAACGACTTTACGCTAAAACGTAGCATATCTCTCCCTTTTTTGCATGTTACTTGAATGTTATTTTAAAGACTCGTTTTAAAAATTATACATTCTGTAAAAGGGAGTGTTTAGAAGGTATTTTTCCAACCTTCTCCCTAAAATTGAATATTCTTGAATAAAATAAAACCAGAAAGTGGTTAGACACTATTCCATGTATAAGATTAATTTATTTATATTTGTCGACTATATGAAAACTATTTTGCATAGTAATATTGGATTTGTAGGGGAGAATAAACAACTCCCAGGAGGCTTTAGCCATTTTCCTTTGCGTAACAAGATCCAAACAAACCTCTTACTCTGATATTTCATTATGCGTAGTCCCCTGGCTGATCTTTGAAAACCACGAGGAACCGTTTTGTTGTTTTACTCATTCAGACATCATATAACTAGATCTTTTGATGTTTTAAATAAATTTAAGACTGCACGATAATTTTTGGTACTTAGTATACATAATATTTCACAGTATCTATTATTATTATTTTGCTCCCTATGTTTGTATGTAATCTAAATTTATTGATTGTGTGAGATCGTAATAGGTACACAAAGAGTTATCAATGGAAAAAATAAACACAAATTGCGATATAGCTGCGATGTGACGAGAAGTACGCTGACAAATTTGAAAATGAAATAAATGATTACAGCCAAAAAGTTCTATAATCGAGAAATCACAAAATATTAGTGATTCTTTTTCCTGTTAAATTCTTCAAGTGACGAAATTCACTTTGATGGCCATAATTTATATATACACCAGATGGCGCCACAAACAGTAATGTTAGAAGCAATATTGATGTGTAGTTACAGAACATTATGATTTGCGTTGAGAAGAGCTTACGCTAGTTCACAAGCCACAGACCATGTTGAGCAAACCAGCGAGACAGACTACTGACAAGTGTTGTTACATAACGGATGAGGTTTTTCCTTCAGCTTGCGGTCTTTCGTCATTGTCAAATCAGATGATGTAAAAAGTATAGCTTTTAACACGTGTATTTTCTAATAACGCTATTTAAAACACTGAGAGTTACGAAAGTAAGCTATAGCTCAAAAGCATTAATAAAATAATGGAATTTCCCAATCGCATGTCCGTTTCGAAACTGACTGCAGTAACTTTCTTGCTACTTCTAATTCTAAAAGGTAAGGAAAGATGATATATTTAATCAAATAAAACAAGCACTAAGTAATATTACCCGCTGAGAAATTAATTTCTAACAAAGCTTTTTGCTGACTAAGGAATTACACCAGTCGAGTGAGAAACATTATTTAATTGATTTATTCTATTTTATTAATTAATTTTATAATTCAAAATATAAACCAATAAGTTTTTCTAACAATCTTTACAAATAAATATATATATTTGATAAGTTTTATCTCCTCCCCTGGAATCGAATGAAAACAGTTCTATAATGGATTTTGACGTCGTCTGGAACATGGCATAACTGTGTTCGGTCTGTCTCTGTACGCTAAGGTGTTAAAGAACTCTAGAGTAAAAATAATTGGTATTTACCTATGTTGAAGATAATCATCTTGTTTGTGTCTTTTTATAACTCTTTTTATAACTCAATTCGGGATATCTGAAAAAATAATAATGTGTCACCTAGATAATGCATTTCGAAAGAACTGCTATTTTATGATTTAAAAGACTTTCGGGAAGTGTTTTTCTTTTCTAAATCCCTGACCTGAATACACGTTTATGATCTGAGAGTACGAATACTCTGCGCCGAAAAGAACTTTTACATTCTATTCTAAAAGTGATAAATTCTCGGGCGTCATACTACCCTTCGTGCCGTCAAACAATGTTAAAACGTAGTTCTACAATATTGTTTCACCACGGCTTTATATCAGATGTGGTTGTCACATGACCTGCTGGTCTACATATTCAAATTCGTTTAAATACGACGTCCTCAACCCTTTGTATATGGTAAATCTAAACATTCATTTCAAAACTAAAATACGCTAGAAAAAATAAAGAAATGTCAGATCGAGAAGATGAGGCAAATAGCATTTTATATTTTTTTAAGCAGAGCAGTACGTCTTGTTTTTATGCTACCATAAATTTATCAGTGCATGGCTGTGAAACAACGTGTCACAACGTGTATTGTATTACTACGCAAAATTCGGCAAGTTGTTTAGTACTTGTTTGACATTTCTTATGAATTTTCATATAAGTGCAGACAGCCTTCATAATATTTATAACGGGACTTTGTGCAGGCCAAGCCATGACTGCGATTGTTTCATTTACCTATTTTGATTTATATGTGTTGTTTCCTTCTTGGAATAACTAACGTGCTTCAAGATGACTCCTTGCTCAACAGACTTTCTTCCTGAGGAAATATCATGATAATTACGTGTTAGTAGTCAGGGTGTCACCAATTTTGTAGGTATCAACATCAATGGCTGAGTTGCACCCAACATTTGTAATGGTTCCCCAGCTTGCTTTACTGCTGAACGTTGATCGTGATACCATTTGAACCTCTACTGTCGAACAAAACAGTTTATTCATCGCATTGTTTTCAAGTATGGTACCATTTTCATACTTTCTGTTTTATTTTCTCTTCTGAACAGTGATTTTTGTGTGTGCATCTAACATCCATTTAGACCATTACATGCTAGTATATAACTTACTGTTCATACATTTACTTGCATTGGTGAGATCTCTATTGGATTGTCGTTTATCTGGTAAAGACTATATCGTACACACTTGCCATGCGTCGTTTCTGTTCTGGGGACCATGAATGAATCACTATACTTCTGCTGGGATTAGTATGATTGCCTGTACTTTTATGTGTGTTATTCTGGTGTGATCCTCTCTGATTGAGCTCTGAACATGTGATTGTATTCTGGTAGAGTTAATTTACATCAATAGATCGGAAGCTGTTTCACTGTTTTCATAATTATTTTCAGTACTATATATGCTATGAATACAAGTTCCTCGTAAAAACAGTGTTAATGATGGATATATTGTCGTTAAGTTAGAGTTCTAATGCTAGAAAACTTTCCAGTTTGTGCTTTGTATATTGGTTCATGATGGATTATTTATTTATGTGCAACATATGTTGCTCTGAATGCATTCGCTGCAAATATACACATATGGGGTTTGTTTTTTATAGCTTGAGCTACATCTGTAATAATAATAATAGTAAGTTATTTTTGAGATGATAGGCTTCCGTTTGAGCTGCACTTTTCTTAACATTTAGTGTCACTAAAGGGACATTCCATAAGGAACTATTTCTATAATATGTTTAGCCAGTTTCATCTAAATTCTGATAAAACGAAGTTCTTATAATTTCATGTTGAGATTTAATTCGTGTTGTTTACGTTAATAATATACTCTGTATTGTACTATGAAGAGAAGAAATTTGATCAGATTTTAGCTCATTTACAATGGGTAAATTTTATTAAACAAAATTTACTTAATTACTCGCAAAACATATGTGTAGCTTTACATGAACAAAAAATGAGTCGGTTCATTTATGTTAGGCCAACAAAAAATTAGTCGGTTCATTTATATTAGGCAATTTCTTTTATTGGAGTGATCTAATCGTAATTAGTGACGAGTTCAATCAGCTTTACTAATTAGATTTAATCATTTTCTTCAGTCTAGACTGTGGATTCGATTCCTTTTCGCAATATTGACAGCCACTTCAGTCAGTCGCACCCGCACTGACCACAACGTCATGATCCATCTGAAGTGACAAGATCTAATTCAATTAGTTTCATCTATTTCAGATTCTGGAGCTCTTCAGATAACACGCTTGTCAGTCCCATCATGGCTGAAGAACGGCTCACAGGAGTCCGTGGTGCTGGACTGTGAATACGACTTCACCATGAAAGATAATCACCTTGTGGTGAAATGGTTTCTAGACAACGATCCAGAACCGATCTACCAATGGATCCCAGAACTTGGAAGCAGATATTTCTCTTACCGCCTGCAAGGCCGGGTAAACCTAGATTACAGCGTTTCTCCGTCCACTGAGTACACTAGGTACCGAGCCATAAATATTATCAACCCCACCACTGACATGTCGGGGATGTACACTTGCAACGTGTTGTCAAGAGCAGGAGAGGACTTGCAAAAGAAGCTGATGATTATATACGGTAAGATATATTTGGGAAGTCCGGCTCACCTATTTTTGTTTCTGTAAGTTAGCGACCACATCAGTTAATAGGTAACGCTAATTACGCCTGATTTAATTTTTGTGTTATAAACCGTTAGAACTCGGTACTCGATGTTGTTTAGGAATTACACTTTAATATAACAATTTTATTTGTAAACATTTGTAAGTTAGCGACCACATCAGTTAATAGGTAACGCTAATTACGCCTGATTTAATTTTTGTTATAAACCGTTAGAACTCGGTACTCGATGTTGTTTAGGAATTACACTTTAATATTTTGTAAACATAATGACACTGTTGGACGAAAAGAACGCCTGTACTTGATCTGCAAAGATAATTGTTTGCCTGGCTGAGAATAGGCAGATTCCCGTGTCTAATAAGTGTTAAATATCTAACTGGTAGAACAGGCTAGGTAGGAATAAACAAGCAGAATAGTAATATTTTGTACAAAATCTATCTGTATTATAATGTAGAGTGAATATGCATGTTCTCAGTATTTTAGATAACTTAGATTAAAAGTGTTCACTAGCTACGAGTGAAAATGTATAATACTTTTTTTAATATTTAATAATAACAAAAACAGCTTATGTGAATGGAGCTAATTTTTTTCTTCATTACTTTAAGAAGATAGGCAGAAATAATATTACCAGTTAATTCTTCAATATTCCTAAAACGACAACAGTTAATTACATTTTATACTCGTAATGCTTGTTAAAAATATCAGAGCAGCTTTAATTAAGCATTATTTTTGCCTATAGTTGATGAAAATATAGTAGCGAATGAGAAGAGGCGCGGACAATTGAAATGTTGAAATATTATCATACGTGATGAGAACTGTACGATATGCCCCCCAGAGGCACAGCGGTATGTCTGCAGACTTACAACGTTAGAAACCGAATTTCGATACCCGTGGTGGGCAGAGCACAGATAGCCCTTGTGTAGCTTTGTGCATATTTAAAAAACAAACAAACAATATGTTTAGTTGCTCACTGAAACTAGATAAAAATAGAGCTAATGCTACACAAGTTATAAGTAACGATTGTTGATTGTTAATGGAAGAATCCAGTGGTTGAACAGTTTAACATTTCGACAACATCCAATAAAATTGTTGGTTGGAAGTTCTCAGTCTTGGTTTTATGCGTGATACTCCAGAGTCGTATTTTTATGTAAATGATAGTTCTTATCCATAGTTCTATCTCATCATCATAAGAAGAATATTTATGTAGATGGTCATCCTAATTAGAATTATAGCTTACAATGAAGAGACAAATATTTATGTGAAGGTTTTCCATATTACATAAAATGGTTTTTATGGAACTTGATAAGAAAAATATTAGACAACTTAATGCATAAAATCTTTATTACAATGTTAAAATAGGCTACATGATTCCATGCTCTTACGGCCCCCATTATCAAGGTTATGGCGCTATAAGAGCACTGAAACATATAGATCCTATCTTAACACTGTAGTAGAAAATATATTATATAGTAAGTTGTTTAATCTTTTAAAGTTATACCCATAGTTTCAACTCACCATTAGGAGATGAATATATTTGGTGGTGAAAATTCTTATCCAGAGTCGCAGTTTATAAATAAGAGACTAAAATTTACACAGGATGTGGATGATTTTCATAATTATCGATCGTAAATTAGCATACACAGAAGGATGTTTTTGCGGATGCTATAAATTTTCTTCCAAGAAAAGGATACTTACGTGAGTGTTAACTCTGATCCAGTGTTTTGACTGATCATGAGGTAATTGGGTTTTGGCAGTTCTATCATTCTACCTTTTTTATGACGAGAATTTTGAAATCTAATAATCCAGAATTGTATTTGGTTAATTTGTGTCTATTGTTATAAACTTTATGCAAGTGGTATTTCAATATTTTAGACCGACATAATCTTAATTAATCGTGATAAAAGTGATGTTTGTGTACCATAATCTAAAGTTACAACGTATTATCAAGTAAAGACTGCTTTTATGTGATCATCAAGAATCTATTTTACCATAAAAAAGTGAGTTAAAATTATTACAGTATTCTGCCAAAGTATTCATTAAAGAGGTTTTACTGGCGTGGCCTATTTGTCTTTTAGATATCAACTAAGAGAAGCTTCTACTTATAAAATGTTGCTCCTTATTCTTCATGTCTAAATCGATGAGTTCCTCTCAAAAAATGCATCGCTGTCTTTGTGGTATTTTTAGGACCCCTTGTTTGTACGTGGTACTTATCAGTAGCTCGCAGTGTTACTTTTTTAAAAAGTTTTGGTACACACCTTTCACGCCTTTTCTAAGAAGCGTCAAAAACATTTTTAACGGGTCAAATAATATATGTCGAGTCTTCACTGGTTTGTGGCTGCTTAGATTATTCAATTTTATCAGTGACATACATATAATATATTCTTTTCGTATGACAATTTGATCATTTATGTATTTATTATTTATTATTTAAGTATTAGTCTTTTATTAATCATTGGATAAGACGCCACTATTGAAGACTGAAAAGGGTGCATGAGTTATTACAAAGTTAATAGAAGCCTCCCAGCACTATCATTTTTGTAAAGGGCAGATTTCACTCTGTCCATAGATGTAGCTTCCTTTAAGTGAAGGTCTCATTCATTCTAAGTCGTAGCAATGAGTTAAAATGCTGCAGGCTGAGTAACGTTTGGCGTGGTGATAGTTTGTGTTCTTCTTTAGCCGTTATATTTACACTATTAGAATTAGCTTGTTCGTTTCTCTGGTATTCAACCATCTAAGGTAGTACTAGGATAAACCCCATGGCATTCTGGACAATTATATTGAAAAAAAAGTCTACGCTGACGTTTTGAAATCTTGTCTTTGTGATTAAGAAATTTGTTTAAGATAAACTCGTGTAGACAAAAACAAATATTAGTTGTATTTGCACATCCGTACATAAAAGTAACATGTGATGAGCATTTCTAGTGGTAACACGTTCTTAAATGCAGTTGGGTAAAATATCTAGGGAAATATGGCAAGAGGTAAGCCAAAAATGATGTGGATGGACGATACTAATGAATAACCAAGATCTAAAAAGCATATGGTAATTAACAAGTAAGGTTAAAAACGGAAAAGTTTAGAGAGACATATTTGGCAACTTTAAGATCGAAGTCTACAGCATAAAATCACTGAAATATTTTTATGTATTTGAAAGAAATCGTCCAAACACGGAAATACTAACAGCACAACAAGTTTTGGAACCTAAAAATAATGAATTTGAGGGGCAGTAACTTTGCATATCTGCTGTTGTATGAGCTGTATAATGATTACGTACCAGAAATTCACTAAGATTAGCTTTTCTTTGATGAACGTTAATTTTTCTTGTAAAATGGACAGATAAATCACTATTGTAAAAGCCATGGTAGCTAGTATGGTCACAAGGTTATGTACTTTTACGTGTGAAACTATTAAGATTTGTATGCAAATCAATAGAATGTCGAGAAAAGACAATTCATGTTATTGTCTATGCTCAAGAGTTAGCTGCATTTGATTGTTTAAGTAGCGGTGAAATTTTGAAATCATTGCAAATTCCCCCAAAATGGACAAAAACACCATCAGCATATCACATTGTATTAAATGTTTTAACTGTGAGATTACACCCATCAAATCATGATATATGAAAATATTGGCCAAGATAGGAGCAAGTGGTGATCTCACGCACATTTTATTTACTTGAGCATTATAATCTTGAATAGTAACAAAATATATAAAGATGTATAATGGAATATCAATAATAATATTAGACCGACATAACAAGGTTTAAGCTCATATCTGTTAATTTGTTAATAAGGATATCTGTGTTTAAGGATTCTACACCCACGTTAGCCAAAGTAGTAGGACAAACAAATGTGTATTCTATAGATGAAAATAAAATTCAAAAGTGCCACATATATAATATAATTTTACATTAAAGGATTTAAGCAACTAAGTAAAACTTTCGCTAGAGTTCAGAGTTTTGAAAGTGCAAATAATCTATACAATTGCTCTTCCAGGAAAATTAAGGCTTGTGTACTTTGGGTATACCATATAAGATACTATACTAAGTGAACTTGTAGACCTGTTTTTAATAGATTAAGAAAAAATATCTTGTTACCAAAATATAGAAAATATAAATAAAATGTCTTATTTTAATTTCTGTTTGTTTCGACCCTTGCAATTCACTTTAAACATATTAAATATTATGACATGTCGACCCACCCTCTAAACCCAAAACTGCCCAACGGTTACTATAGAATAATGCACATACAATGCACATATTCCAAGTTTATTTACAGGATATTTTGATTAACATAAAAAAGCATAATCAAGCGTTTACATTCTTCCATTTATGGTGAAAAAATAATCAAACATTTTTGTGTACATTGAAATTTGAGGGAGATTCATGCAGATAGCATAATTGTAAGTCTTCTAATATAAAACTTTTAATGCATTACACCACTAAACATTTGCATAAATCGAATATCAGTTCTTCTACATTCAGTATATGTAACTGTTATCCTAATATGGGATTGATTCCTCATTTATGCAACCGTAAGTGTACTTGCTCGCACCAATGCATGGGAGCCCTGTGTTTTTGCAAGAACTATTCCTAGTATTTGATGTGGTCTCACAATGGCAACCATCCAGTTCCGAAAGCCTTAATGTTGCTGGATTTGTATGCTACCAGTGAATAGTACTACTGTTTTTGAAAACTTTCCATCCATGCCCATTTGGAGAACGTACATCTTCTAGTCCTTCAAACACTCTTCTCAAAACTGATAGTAGAATGTAAATTTCAATGCATCATCTGTTGATCTAAATTGGTGAGAACACTTTCATTCCAGAGTATCCAGAAGAACAGTGCATAGAAAGTTACCAAACAAGGTTATTTTGCAAGACGAGCTACCTGCAAATCGATATTAACCAGAATTTACTGCCGTCACCATGTTACTTAGGCAAGACAACATACCAACTTAGAGTTAGGA